CGTTCCGCAATTTCATCAACTGTTAAAGATGGTTCTGCTTCAACTAGTGCAGAGAGAGCATCATCATCAAAGTCAACGGGTCTTCCAGTACGAGCCTTATCCTCCACACTAAAATCATTATTTCTAAATCTTTCAAACCACTTCTGCGCAGTCCTTACACTAATTACAGTTTGATTATGAACAGTATTTAATTTTTTGGCTGCATTTGTAGCATTCGCACCACTTAAAAATAAAAAGTATAAAACATGTCTCTTATATTCGTCTGTTACTTCCATTTTAACGAAAATAAACAACTGAAATGTTACCAATTCTGAACAGTATTATATGAATGAGATCCAGTTTAACACTTCAGTTTAAAAAGTATCACATTAGACTGATAATTTTAACAGCAAAACACAATTTTTCTCAAGGTCATAAAATACACATGAACTTATGGACTGGCCTAATATATATGGTAGCCACATTTGAATTCAAATGATTTTGCAGACATAATGTAAGTTTTAATTATTTAAATGATTAATTTATAATTTTTGAGTTTCACTTACATTCAGAAAATTACTGTTTTAGTAAATTATTATAATGTATAGTGTATATAGTGCCTAAATGAATACTCTGATTGGGAGAAACTTTTGTAAACAAAAGATGCAGTAATGTCACAGGATCATTATAAGATAAATCTCTTTCAAAGTTTCATTTCAGTCATACAGCCTGTGTGGTTCTGCGATTGAACCACTAGAGGGTCAGCAGTTACAGACATGACAACTGGCAAAGAGAAAGCATTTTGTGTACTGGAATTTCATTCTACAAAATCAGTCCTAAGTGTCCAACATAGCTTTTGTAGAAAGTTCGATAAAAAATCTACCAGATGTGAAGACTATTCAGAGATGATATGAGCAATTTGTGCATCATCGCTGCCAACATAGCAATAGATAGGAGTACACTATATTGATGTCTTCAGGGATTTGTTTACAGAAGCACAGTGTGGGTGATCTGCCAACGGAAAATATCTTCCTGGAGGTCTTTAACTGACTCCTATTTAGGTGTTACAAACATGAAGAAAATCCAGAAAACTTCATGTGGCTGACCCATTGGTGAGGCACAAACCCATGACCAACTACCAGTGTTGTTCACTCAGCCACTTATGGGCATGGTCTGCAGGGGTAAAGAGGGGGCTCATATCAAGCATTTGTAGGATATGTAAGAAACTTTGAGTGTTTTCTTCAATATCTTCACTATGATTGTCTTATGTTCCACTGTAGGTAACACTTGTAATTGGGGACATCATTTAGGTTCATTTAGGTACATTCTGTATTTTAGTAAAGTAAAATATTGAATTTCGAATTATATATATGTGGTGAAATGTTTATTAATTTACTTCAGATTCAATTAATGTGTAATAAGCAATTTGATTACCTAAATTAATTATAAATTTTTGTTTGTCAGTGGCCGCTCTTTTATTAGTATCTTTAGTGCCAAGTAATCATTTTAGACAAACCTATCGCTCGGCCAGAAGTATGCTGACACCTCAAAAAGAAATTCCGGTAACTAAGTTAGATGTTTATCTCATGATATTTTTCGAAATATATTTAAATTTTGCAAAAGAATTTCGAATTCTCTTTACAGTCCATATTAATGTTTTGTTTAAGATCAACTGTCTGCTTTCAGATGAGTGGCGAAGCTTTAATAGTAATGCACCAGGTAAGTTATTTGTTTTTATTAAGGAAGAAGGACAATAAAATATCTAAAAAGTATAAAATTAAGTATAAAGTAAAAGTATAAGTAAAAAAAGTATAAATTATTTTTGGCATTTATTTACATTAGATTTATGATTTACTGCTAAGGCTACTGAAGCGTGCCAAATTATATGTCGGTAAGTGTTAAATCAGCCATTAAAATATTCCCATTTGTTAACAAATCCACTTCAGTTTTATTATTCTGTTTCAGATCCAACTGGACACGGAACTACGAAATTGACATCTTATTTTGCAGTCATGACTTATAGTTTGATTAGTAGATCAGAGAAATTGATGGTAAGATGCTTTTTAATTAAATTTTGGTAACCTGAAGTAACAAAAGAAGAAACTTTCCCTAATTACAATTTTTTTTTTTACTTTTCCCACTGTTATACAGTATATAACAGAGGGAGAGTATGGTGATTAATAAAAAAAATGATCCCTTTCCAAGATTTTTACATTTTTGGATTTGGCACATTGAAATGTTAAGGAATGCAAAAAAAATTTGGGGGTTTTCTGTATGTATTGATCATTGTGTGGGGGGGCATAAGTTCAATCACTCTGAAGCTTAATATCTTTTTTGGAAATTTTGCAGGGAGGTTTGTATATTAGGGGGATTGATGTTAGTAAATCTTGGTTGGTTAAAGGTTGAGGAGTGGCAAGATAGAGAGGGTGTGTAAACTATTATTTATTATTATTATTTGGAAAATTTTTATTTTTATTGTGAGAGGGCATTTTTTCAGTGAGTCGTCCTTGTCTGTTGTCGCCGTCTTGTTTGTGTACTGGATTCAAGAGGAATCAAAACTGTATTGCCTGAATGATTGAAGAGAGTTTTAATCTATAAAGATCAGTTTATTGTGCAATTACTGTGATTTCGTATATAGTCCATTCATAGCGTCAACAGACGGTACTGTGTCATATCTCAAGTAGAGTTGGACTTAATGATGATTTTACTCATTATTGTCATTTAAAATCTTTTTTATAAAACTCATCTTTAGCATGAAAATTAAACTCTGCCATTTTATAATATCAAAAACTTTTCATATTATTAATTAAAATACCATAACAAATGGTGTCACCATAATTTTAAATGATTTTTGCTGGAAAAGTTACTCAATGCATTGCTGGATTTTTTTATTAGATATATTTGTATTTCATAAGTAGCTTATTTAAATGAACAGTAAAAAGGGGACTGTTTTGGAAGATATCTTATGAGCTGGAATTAGATAGATTTTTTAATCATCAAAACATGATAATTCAGACTAAAGGTATATGGTTGGACCACAGTCTTACACTGATACAGTATTAGTAATCCTTAAACCTTTAGTTTTTTTAATTGAGTATTCATTCTGGCTATGCAGGTATACATATTATTGATGGGCATGTTGCAAAGAGTGCAATAAATGAAAATGACAGTTCGGCTCAAATGTCTGTTTTTACATATTATATCTTATACTGGATGATTAGAATTAAACTGATTGAATGGCTCTATTGAACCAAACTAAATTAAACTGAACATGTACAATGCAGATTACGGGGAAGAGATTTAGAGGAAAAATTAGTTGAAATTTTCATGACCAGGGGAATGGAAGTGTGCTGCTGTAAAGATGACAATTATATGACAAGTTGGCAATTTTATTAGAAGAACAAAATTACATTTTAAATATTTATGGTATATGTTCAACATAGGATCCTTCTCTGTAGACACATATTGCAATCGTAAAACTGTGTAATAAACTGCACATGTAACATTCCGGGAGGAATCTGTGAGACCTGTAGTACTATGCTGGCCTTGGCTCTGACATGTAGTGCAAATGCCCCCAATAAACACAATCAAGTAATCCCACAGCAAGAAATATATGTTTTTGCTTGAATGGTACCACATTTCCACTGGTAACAAAAATTTTAACTTATTTTTTGCACTAAATCTCTTCCTTGTGATCTGCATTGCACACATACTAAATTTAATTTGATTCAGTTCAGTAGAACTCGCCATATGCATATCAGAGTATCGACATTTATATATGTATGCACATAAAAGAATAACATCTGACATTTGAAATCATTTTGTCATAAATGATTTTCTACATGGCATCTCTTACTGCCCTGATCGTTTTGACCAACATACAATTGATAATCTACACATCTGGTATGCGGGAGATTAAATACTGTATTGCCCTTCTGTTTAAATTGAAATCACAAATGACCATCCATTCTACATGAGTAAGCACTTTAGGACTTCATCCATCTTGAATTCACAACTGATCTACCACCTATAAAACTAATCAATTAAGTTACAAATTAAATTAAATAGATAATTATTCTGCTTAGGTTTCGAACCCAGTTGCTAGTAACCCTGACGGGGCTTGGCTGATTTGGGAGTCTCCATGAAGAAATAGGAACTAGTGGTTTTCTAATGATTTCTTTTAACAGAGTACAAAATACAGTGGAACCCTGGTTAACGAACGTAATCCGTTCCATGAGTCCGTTCATTAACGAAGCAATTTTTCCCATAGAAATTAATGAAAATACAATTAATCCGTTCTAGCCATCAGTATTTTTGTAATTTTATTTGTAAAATGGGTTTTCTTTGATGAAAATATAAGAAAAAGTAGTATCTATCATTACAGCAACAAATATTAAACTTTATTTAATAAAGTAGCACTGTACATACCTTTGTTTCTACGGAGCATAATGCTTGGAAGAGGAATCCCCCTCCATAAAAATATCGGGTAGCACTGCATCTGGAGTTTCTTTGAGTCGAGGTCTCTTTTGATAAGAAACAAGAAAGTGGTCTAAAGTTGATTGTCTTACTCTTTTAATCAAAAATTTTCTAAAATGCGCTAGCACAGTGTCGTTCATTAAATTAATGATCCTATTAGCCACAACTTTGTTAGGATGGTGCTTCTTGATAAATTCCTGCACATCATTCCATTTTCTGCAAATTTCCTTGATCTCAGCACTGGTGATTTCTTCCCTAGCCTCTTCCTCTGATGAATGCTCTTCTTGTAAGACTTTCTTCCTGCATGGTAACCAGCTCTTCTGTTGTTAGTTCATTTTGATGGTCTTTCAGCAACTCCTCCACGTCTGCATCATCTACTTCTACTCTCAAATTCTTGCCAAAGGACATGATTTCATGCACTACATCAGGAGAGCTTTCTTCTTCAAATTCCTGAAAGTTTCGCTCTGGGACACAAGTTTGCCAAAGTTTCCTCCAGGCCGATTGCAAAGTGCGGTGAGAGACCTCACTCCAGGATGTTAAAATGCTCCTTCCAAAAAGCTCTAAGAGTTAAGTCGGTGTCATTGGTAACCTGAAAACACATGGTAAACAGTGCCTTGGTATACAGCTTTTTAAAATTGGAAATTACTTGCTGACCCATTGGTTGCAGTAATGGAGTTGTGTTGGGTGGAAGGAATTTGACCTTGATGAAGTCATGTTCACTATCCAAGTCATCCTCCAAATTTGGTGGATGTGCTGGAGCATTATCCATTAAGAGAAGACATCTAAGAGCAAGATCCATTTACTGAAGATAATTTTTAACAGCAGGAGCAAACACTTCTGTGAGCCAATCCATGAATAAAGTCCGAGTTACCTATGCCTTACTATTTGCCTTCCATTGTACAGGCAGTTTGGACTTTATCACATTTTTGCTCTTAAAGGCACGGGAATTTTCAGCGTTGTAGACTAAAAGTGGCTTGATTTTGAGGTCACCACTTGCATTAGCGCAAAATAAAAGAGTGAGTCTGTCCTTCATGGGCTTGTGCCCGGGAAGTGCTTTCTCTTCTTGGGTTATGTACATTCATCTAGGCATTCTTTTCCAAAAAAGACCGGTCTCATCGCAATTAAACACTTGAGTCCAGACGTATCCTTCACTTTTTACAAACTCTGCGAATTTATCTACAAATGCTTTTGCTGCTTTTCATCTTAACTTGAAGCCTCCCCATGTGATATGACACTGTGAATGCCAGTTTGTCGATTAAACCTATCAAACCACCCTCAGCTTGCTTTAAAGTCCTGCCTGTCTGCACTTGTACTGAGTGTCTGGGTCAACAAGTCATTGTATAAATTTTTAGCCTTTCACAAATTATAGCTTCACTAACACTGTCTCCAGCAAGTTGCTTTTCATTGATCCATATTAGCAACAGTTTTTCAACTTCATCTAAAACTTTAGATCTTTGCTTTGATATCACATTCACTCCTTTAGCCACTTCGGCAGACTTAAATGCTTTTTTGTTTTTAATAATTGTAGAGATAGTTGATTTTGCCACATTATGTTCTTTAGCGATGCCAGAAACACGAATGCCATTCTTGTATTTTGCAATACAGTAGAACCCCTCTAATCCGTCACCTTTGGGACTGGGGGTATGGTCGGAACGCAAAAAAGATTGGATTATCAGAAAAAAGTAAAATAAACAATTTTCCCCTTTGTCCAGTCTTTGTAGCACTGCTAATTTTTCATTTAATGAAAGAGTAACGTGTTTATGTTTCACTCCTGACATGTTGAAAACACACACAAAACTGTACATGTGCACACAATGTAAAACATATACTGTAACGAACACAGAAAAACTCCACGGACGGTGAGTCACCGACGAGTCGGGACAAGTTTCTCGACTCCGACCACGGTCGGACTAGCCGAGGGCGGACTAGAGGGGTTCTACTGTAATTTTTTTCTTTAATGCTACACTAAAATGTTTTATATTTCCAGTGTCACTTTTCTCTTTCTTCTGTGCCATATTGATTAAATATACAGTATAAATAACAAAACTAAAAAAACGAAGTTTAGTGCACGCCTAAGAGCAACTGAAATTTGTGAGGTTCCAGAACAGCTGGAAACTATTGGGTTGATACAAAAGTTTGTCCCATTTTTAGCACCAGCTGGCTAAAAACTCAACACTGAAGTGTTATTTCCTTCACATGTGTAAAATTTTGATGTTTGACAAAAGGGATATCAGCTAGTATTTGAGAATAAAGTTGTGTTACTTAGTTGTGTTTTTAAAATTTTGTTAAGCATTACAAATGGCAGAAAATAAGGAGCATTTTTGACATATTATGCTTTATTTCTGAAAAGGCAAAAATGTTTTGCAGACACAAAAAAGATATGTTCTGTGTATGGTGAGGGAGCCATTGATAATTCCATGTGCTGTAAGTGGTTCAGAAAGTTTCATGAAAGTAAGCTTACAAATTTGACACAAAAAGCTGTTAAGTTCGTTATCCAAATTTTATTTGTTATCCAAGACAAAATTTTTGCAAAATAAAAGTTTGATAACCGATTTGGTCGTTAATTAACCAAGACGTTTGTTAACCAGGGTTCCACTGTACCAATTTTTTAGAATTTAAACAGGTTCAAATTTAACAAATAACTTCATTTAAACAGTTTAGTCCCTATTTCCTCGATCTTTGGAATCTCTTTCAACCTAAACTTTCCGAACCGGCCATACCAGTTCATCACAACAAACAGGTGAGTGTATTTTTAAAATAAATGCTATTCCTCCAGCAGATTATTTATATTATTATTAACTTTTCAGGCTTTGTTAATATTTTGGTATCAAGTATGCATAGACTGTCCAGAAAATGTTAAATTAATTGTTCAGAATTCGCACGTTACCAAAAATATCGCTTTTAATTATATTCTGTGAGTAAAATTGTAAGTAGCAGATTTGTATGCATAAATAAGGCAAGAGTAACCCTGGTTATTTTTGCAGAGCTGACCACGACGATCAGGAAGTAGTAGTGTTTAATCGTTGTATGCTACCCGCATACTACGGTTTACTGAGGCTGTGTTGCCAACAGTCGAGAAGCTTCACTCGCCAGTTAGCCAATCACCAAAATATACAGTGGGCATTCAAAAACATAACTCCTTATACCACACAGTATACAGCCGTAAGTTGGCATTTTTGTTTTTTCTTATTTTTAATGTTACAATGCATAATGGTGGAATTTTGTGTCTCGGGCACAGGCGATAAACGAACTGTTTAAGTTGATGAGATTATTCGTGGCCAAGTACACGGACAGCACAGAACAGGAACTGAGGGAGATACACCATTTCAAACGGACGACGCTGCGTCTGTACTTGACGGTGTTGGATGCCAGGGCCTGTTGGGCCACCCTGATCAATGCCCTTCGAATACTGGTGGAAACCACTGATGATCGTCTCTTCGTCATCTGTAACAATGGATTGGCGCTCTTATTTCAGGTGAGAAATGCAAACCTGCAAAATTAGATGGATAATTGTTATTTTTGACCACAACATGGTACAGTGTTTTGTATTGTGAAGTTCCTCTCCATGGCAGGTGCTGCAATCTTTTGTTTTCTGTCTGCCACCGAAATGTGGAAATCTTCCTCCAGTGAAGTACAAGGACTCATTCTGCAATGGGGCCAAATATTTCATTACTGCAAATTGCGGCACAAGCTTTCTTTGCTTTTTGTTAGCATGGGAGCCAGGCTTTACCATGAGGATACCAGCAATGTGGAATACGACCGTTATTGGTCATATTTCACATTGTTCCTTAAGGGAGCATTATTGGAAAACGGGTGACACTTCCGACTAATCCATTTTTTGTTTCAGGCTTTTCACACCCTGCATATGATGTACCACGAGGCCACTGCCTGCCATGTGACCGGAGATGTGGTGGAATTGCTGGCCATTGCCCTGGACTTGCTGAAGTGTGCTCGGGCCTGTCGGGAGTCGGCCGAAGTCCGACAGTGGCTGGCTGGGTGGAAGGAGCACGGTGAAGCCAACAGGAAGTTGCTGACACTGATGAATTCCTTTGCCCCTCCAGAGGTTCGACATGTCTGCACCGGTAAGGTTCCTTCCTCCTGTCTGCCACTCGGTCCTCACCTCATCTCACCTTACGTGTTTTCTCTCCTGCAGAAGTGCTGCAAGAACTGGTTCTACTGTATCCGGCTGAGAGTCTGTCCCTGCTGGTGCCTCTGCTGGCCAGTTGCCATGCCTCCTTCCAAGAAAACAACTCACCTGGTGAGTCTCTTCCCTTCTCGTCTTAATTAATTAATTAATTAATGCTTTTCGCTTGGTGGAGACCCTCTTGCCTTTCCTGACTCTTCTCATGCTTTGCAGTCACTCCGGGGCCCTTCTTTCCCAGACGCGGACAGAAGATTCTGGCTGGCAAATCCAATGCACGGCCACAGAGGCCCATGCTACAGATGTTCCTGCATCCCAGTCAGCTGGAGACGGCCAAGGTAAGTTTCTCACCCTCTCTTTCCCCTGGGCCTTTTGACATCCGTGACCATGCCTCTTCTTTTTCAGGGGGTGGATGATGAGTACGACGCGGCGCTGCTGGAGTTTTTCCTTCCCTATCATCGCTTTGTCGACACCCTCTGCCGGGTGGCCGTGGGTCGAGATGGCGTCACTTCTGATCTGGTGAACCTGAGTGAGTACTTCCAATCTTCCTCCTCCTTCTGGAAGATTCTGCCAGAGGGGGCGAGGAGAGACTGAATGCCAGATTTTTCCATAGGTGCCATGGTGGCCATCGAGGGAGTTCCCCTGCACCTGCCCACCTTCCCCAAGCTGTGGCTGGATGTCCTTCACTCTGAGGTGAGTTTCTTCCTCCTCCCACCGGGGACTGCCTGTTTTTCTTTGAGAGGGGCAGTCGATCCGGAGGGGAACTGATTGGAGTGACCTTTCAGAGGGCAGGTCGAGAGTTCCTTCCGGCTCTGTGCAATAGCAGCTACTTCGTTGACTACCTGGAAGCGGTTCTGCTGGACGAGAGGGCCTGCCTCAATCATCCTGTGGTCTATCAGCTCTTTTCTGTGCTCCTACCTCAGGTGAGTGTCTCCCCCTGCCGTCTGATGCAGGACCAGACCCTGGATACATTTCTGCATGACGTTTTAGGTGGCTGGACAGGTGATTAATGACCAAATGATGTCACTGGTGGCATCGTTGATGACATCGCTGGTGCGGATGTTGGAGGAGACAGACCTGACCAAACACGCCTGGAAGCTGAATGGGGTAAGGGGACGTTGCTTCTGTTTGATTTTCTTCCAGGAGTTTTGTCCCCCTGATCCACTACTTTTGCAGGACCTGCGTGCCCTGACGCTGGTGTTTTCAGTGGAGAAACCAGCGGAGGTGCCCTCTGACTTTGCCGACGTCATGAATGGTCTGATTGAACACTGCAAAGAAATTGCCCGAGCTGAGAGTGGGGAGACCAACGCTGAGTCGGAAGGGGAGAGGGATGCTGAATCCGGTAAGACCCAGCCCAATTTTTAGCCTATGGTCGGAAGCCGCAGCCGCGAAGGATTGCAAAAACGTGCATGCCCATACTTTGTGCTTCCTCTTCTGTCAACATGTCTACAAGTAAACAAAGTGTGAAGCCAAAGGGGCGAACACGTCACTCTTTCTCTGCATGTGTGCATAACGCTACAGGGTAAGAGTGAAGAATCTTGTTTAATCTCAGTGTTTTTTGTTTACCTTTTGGCAGGTCGAGCAGTGTCAGAAGGTCGTCCAGAAGAGACCCCCTCCAAGAGGCGCAGGCTCTCCACCGGTTCGGAATCCACCTCGTGCAGTGCTGGAGATGGCGAGGCGGCTGGCGCCTGCGGCAGCCCAACGGCTGGATCGGCGGAGGGGGCCGGAAGCGGGCGCCCAGGGTCTTCGTCCCCAGCCCGGGCCCAGAGCTCGCACTGGGCCGATATCCTGGCCAAATCGGCGGCGGCGCTACTGTCCGTCTTGGAGAGCGGAAGGTGAAGAGTCGCCTGCCACGCGCGCCGGTGCACGCGCGTATATATAAATATATAAATATATATATATACATATATAAAGCGGTAGGTCATAATGACGTGTAAAGTATTGTACAGAGTCGACGCCGCGCTTTTACCTGGCGTCGGAGGTCCGACCGGACGCCCTTACCACGGATGTACATTTTTTACGGATGCCGCGTTTTATTGTCGTCCCTCTTTTCCTTTTAATCGGTTCGTCCCTAATAAAGACACGCTTTTCAGTTTCTTCCATCTCTTCACTTACTTCAGGTGGCTCCAGGGAGCTCACGATTTTTTACCGAAAGTGGGGATTTCCCGGACTCTGGGTTCCTTTTCGGAAACGAGTCACTTCCGGTTCGTTTCGGTCTGTTTCCTTACGTGTGGAAAGGCGGAATGGCGTCGCTTCCGGTCTAGAAATGCATCGGAAAATCGGCCAAATTCCGCGTGCAAATTGCAGTTATTTCGAAACGGAGCTTCTGTCTTGAAGCACGAAAAAATGCAGCTTTCCTTCGAATTCCAGAAGACATTTCTGCTTTTTCCGTTCCGTTTTACACTCCACGGAGGGAGGGAGATGTTTCGGCCACTTGATTTTGTAACTTCCGGTGACCGTCGATTCTTACGTTATTGTTGTGTCGTAATCCGATTACACGCGAACATGCGGATTCATGTTCTATCCCGTAAACGTTCGGGTAAAGCGGTAAGTGCGTACTCAGCTTTAGGGATTTCTTTAACAATACGTTTATATCTTTGCACGTGATAACGGATGTCGGAACCGACGTGTAGAAAAGTGGACGTTACGAAGGCTACCATCTTTCGTCTTAACGAAAGATGGTAGAAAACTAAGGTACCAAATAGCCAATAGGTTTTGGTACCTTATAGGTTTAGTGTGCACGACTTCCGATGCATTTCCGTTCCATTTCGTGGGTTAAAAGTCGAGGGGGTTTTGAATTCGCTGGGGACCGCGAAACTACGGCAAAATTGTCTTTCCGTTGCGTCCGTACATATTTGAAATTTACTGGAAGTAGCGAAATCGCGGTTTTGGACCGTTCCTTTGCGCCTCTCAATGTTATACAGTATACTCCCGATTATTCAGGCTAACAACTGGGAGAACGTGCAGGGAAAATAGAAAAAATGGGTAATTCAACACAATTAGGAGGAAATGACTTTCGGATACTGTCCTGAAAAACTTCCAGAAGCTTTGATTTACATTTTTTCCCACCCAGACAGCATTGTTTTGTTTACACAAAATGTATTTTTTTCTCCTTAACGAAAGAAAATTGTGTCATGGGCGCCACTTTTTCTCAGCCAACTTTACGTAAAAACTTCCTGCATGGATAATCCTGAGTACGCTGCATTCTCCATTCTCTCTCCTCAAACTGCACGAACGAGATTATATGCGACTAGTCGAGAATTTACGATTTAAGTAAAAGGCGGGAAACGTTCCTGTGTTCTGGCCGAGTACTGACCGTAACCGTGGTCACAGCCATTCTAGTATCTTCCTGGCTCGTTGGGCATACTTTATGCTCCGCCATTTTCTATCGGCATATTATAAGCACAGCTTGATTTACGGGAAGACCAATTTCGTCTTTGACTTAAAACTGAAAAAAGTGGACAGACAAATTTTGCCGAGGACCCTTTTGGCGTTTTTGAGGGGCTGGGATATATTCTCCACGACCCCATCGCCCACGGTCGGAAGGGATCGGCTCTCCGGGCCCGAGACGGGAGGCCTTACAAATTAAGTAGTCAAATCGAGTTCCGGCATTGTTGGCGTTACGCGCAATCGTATTTTGTGAAAAATGGTGCTGCAGTAAAAGAGGTGGCAATAAAGGATAGATTTTTTTTAATATCGTGGAATTACTAATAGGCGCGAAGCGCGTTTTCGACCACCATTTTATTTTAAGATGGAAGTCTCGCCGAAGGAGGAGTATTTTATTCCCGCTACGAACTTCCCATCGCTTTCCGTTTGCTGTAGGAGTAGAGTTTCTTTTGTTACCCAAATGGCTACCGAAAATGGTTTAGCCCCGCACTCATCTTTACTGTGTGTGTATTTTATTGTCGGTAAATTGTACAGTAGATCCCCCTATAAGACGGTAGATACGTTCCGTTCTTTATGAATCAATTTTGTAGGAATCATAGTTTACGGACTACGGCTGTTTGAAAGGTTTTCTTTCATAAAATTAATCGATTCTAGACTAATTCGACTCAACATTTCCAAAATACGTATATTTTTTTGAAAATAATCCGTATAAACTACGTTATAAACAAAAAATTGTAGGATTGCTTACCGAGTGTGTACCGTTCGACTACGCCCGTTGCTAAAGCTTGGTTTCGTCGCGGAACAGCGCATCAAATTGCGGCCGCGATTTCTGATATTATTTTTCTGCGAAAACTTCGTTGACCTTTGGAGACATCATTAATATAAATAATTTTTATGGCCGTTAAATAAGAAATGTTTCTTTCACAAGAAATGTATAAAATTACAGTACTAAACAGACGATAGGTCGCCTAACTCGCCGTAGCGTGACGCTAGACGGCGAAAAATATATATTTAATTATAATAAAGTTACAATAAATTAAGTTAATATATAATTATATATACAGTACCTAATTTATATATAATTAATATATAATTATATGTACAGTACCTAATTTATATATAATTTATATAATACTGTCCAGACGATAGAAATCTCTCCGTAGCGTGGCGCTACGGACGGCGGGTAAGTAGTTCGGCTGCCCGATGACGTTTTACGTATTATAGGAGTTATTTTTACCGTTGTTTACGGATAATGCCACAATTTTTATAGGAATCATAACTATAGGAAACGGTTTTATAGGGGAATCTACTGTATTGCGTAGTCTCGGTACGAATGCCATCATCCGCCATTTTGCGTCCGCGGGGTCGAGTAATTACCGATTAAATATACGTAAAATATTTCTTTGGCCATTGGCTTTGCACGCTCGTTGGGACTTTAGCGATTTTAATTTATTTAAATGTTTATTAATTAATGATTCGCATTTTCTTTTTAGAGAAAACGAGAAATACGAAACTTACTCGCCGGAATTCCACATTAATTAAATAATAAAAGTGAGATGCGACAAAACGGAACTGCTCGCAGTAAATTAAAATGGCTAGTTGGTACTTATAGGTTAAAACATAAACTCTTGTTAGAAATATTTAGTTTCATTTCTGTAACATAAATTAATTTGGTTTATCCGAATAATTATTTTAAATAATAATACATTCAATGGGGGATAAATAAGTTGAAGGAAATTGTTAAGTTTCAAACCCTTAAAGCAAAAGCAATTTCGATTTTATCGACATAAGACAGAATTTCATAGGAGTTGAGTGACACCGGCATTTCGAGGAGGTTAATTTAATCGTCGCCATGTTTCATTCAAACGAACAGCGAATGATTTGTTCTGCATTTTTTATTACAAAAATAATTAATGTCTAAATTAATTGCAAAAGACTTAAATAACACGAAAACTTTAATTCCTGGTACAAGATATCGAAATAATGGAAAAGGATTGTTCGTGATAATATAACACTATCCTCCTCCTGATTGATTGTGGATAATTCATCTTGTAATAAAAATGCGAGTCACTTTGGTGCTTATTGGAATGTTATGTAAATTCTAAATTAGGAGACGAATATCTGCTTCAAATTCCGATGAAAAAGAATAATTTTATGTTGATTTTTTGACCCGTAAACATGATCTTCGTCTGACTTTTCACGTCAATTAGCAATGATGTTATATCAATGTGTAACGTTTAAACTTTTCGAAGCCCGGAATTTCGTAAGACGTTACTGAAGGAAAAAGAAAAACAGGGTCGGTCAGTAGCAGTAGTAGCAACAAGTGTTATAATTTCTATTGTTTGCTGCCTCTTCATCTTAGATGTAACACCGGAATGTCGGAAATGATCTTGTTATAGAGTTAATTTCTATAATAGACGGATTATGTGAAGTGTTTGCATATTTTTTATTTAGTAAATCAGCATTGACCTAAAAAGGAAAGTGCGTTATTTTACTTTGAAAACGATCAGAATTAAATTAACTACAACCGGCAATTGTTTATTGACACTGTCAGAATTCCGTGCTGCAATTTGAAAAAAATTATGGATCTATACATTTCCACATTCCTGGCTGTTATATATATATATATATAACACAGGTAAAGTATGGCGATCGGTCAAAAAATAATTCCCCTCCCCGAGATTTTTACATTTTTGGACTCGGAGGACCTTGAAACGTGGAGAAAAACTCAGGGATTTTTCTGTATGTATGGATGTTACTGTGGACAGGGAAATGTTTTTGTTTACCCTGTTTGAAGCTTAATAATTCCTGTGTATTTTTCGAAAAGTTTTGAAATTTAACACAGGTTTGTTTATTGGAGATATTGATGATGATATATTTTGGTAAAAGATCGAGAATATGGGAAGATACACACGACCTTCTTTATCTCCAGTTTGGTCTGACTTAATGACGATTTTACTAGTTTGCATTTATAATTTTTTTTTTAAAATAAAACCTTTCCCTACCCTCAGAATTAAGCTTTTTGCTATTATATAATAATTAAAAGTATAAAAAGATTTTAAATAAAATATGGTAACAGAGGGCTGCAGCAAAGGTTGCCGGGAATGTTAAGTAACGCTGTATTTTTTAAACTATTTTCAACTAAAAATTTCTAAATACAGTTATAAAATGTGAAATACACTTAATAAATGGCGTTCGAAAAATTTAGAAGATTTGAAATCACGTATTTTCTTTGTATTTTTCGTCTTATATATACTTGTTCAAATCTACGAAAGTTGAGACCCATAATGATAGTTGTAAATACTGTACAACATTTTGTAATTTTTTCAAGTCAATTTTTCTTTACTTTTTACGTTAATTTCTAATTTTGACATAAATGGAGTAACTTGAAATTTACTTTTGTGATACAAAACACGATTTTCTCTTGTATTCTCATACAAAAGTAAATGCTCTAATTGTTGTAATTTCAGTAACATAAAAACTTTTTCACCGTTCCAAAAATTCTTAAAAAATCCGTAACGTTATTATTACGATGATTAGAAACACAAATTGAAAAACTAAACTATTTTTATGAAAATTCAACAAAAAGACCAAGGAAAAAATTGAATAGTAAAGTTGGAAATTATCTTTTTTCTTCCAAGTGTGAAACTTTTTACAACGTTTACGCTCATTTAAAAGTTATTAGTCAAAACGATAATATTTATTTCTT